GATTTTTTAAGCCAAACTAATGCTATTTAGGAGCCTGGCATCATTTTTTAAAAACTGTTTAGGGATGGCAATAATGAAAATGCTTGGCCATTCTAAGATGGAGTGGGAGGGCAGCAGGATATTAATATTGATGACTGATGAATTCTCAGGAAAAATCTCTTTGACAAACTATGCTTCTAAGGGATGGCTTTAAATTTAGAAGGCTTTTTTCAAAACAGAAGGTTAGAAACTTGTGACAAGAAAACTGACATCACCAATGCCAGGGACAAGGTGGGTGAGGTAATATATTTTATTGGACCAACTTCTGTTGGTGAGAGTGATCAGCTTTCAAGCTTAGGCTTCATCTACATCACAGAGTTAGGTCAACATAAGGCAGCTTACCAAATTATGTCAGTGTATACACTACAGCCTTGCTCCCGCCGATGTAAGTGCCCTACTACACCGACATAACAACTCCATCTCCACAAGGGGTGTAGAGTTTATGTCGGTGTAGTTAGGGTGACACAATGTGTGTGTAGACACTGGGTTACTTACAACAGCTGTTAGCTGTCATTCTTGTCAATTTCACAGCTGGAGCCATGAAACTGACACAAAAGCACGGCTGTCACTGGGCTGGTTGGGAGGCTCTAGCTAGAGCCTCATGGCCCCTTGGGCTCCCAACTCCAAGCTGGGCTGCGCCCACCCCACTCCCTCCTCATAGCATGGCTGCCCCCCCGGCTCCCAGCTCCCAGTCCAGCTGCTGCCCAGGCTCCCCACTGCCAGCTGGGCAGCTGCCTGGAGGTTCCTGGCTCCCCACTGCCAAGAGTCCAGCTGCTCCCCCTGGCTCCCTGACACAGCTGGACTCCCGGCAGAGGGCTCCACACCTGGAGTCCAGGCAGCTCCCGGGCTCCCGGTGGGGAGCCGAGAGCCTTGGGCAGCCGCTGGGCTCCCCACAGGGAACAGAGAGCTCAGCCTGGCTCAGAGCTGGGAGTGGGAAGCTGGGCAGGCACAGCCTAGCGGCTGCCCAAACCCTCCCACCAGCTGCCCAGAGGTTTCCGCTCCCCACTTCCTGCCAGGAGCCCAGTGGCTGCACCGAGGCTCCCGAGAGCCGCCTGGATTCAGAGCACAGAGCTCACAGCTGGGAACCTGGCTGCAGCAGGGAGCTTGGGAGGCAGCCAGGCTCCTGATGATGGGGAGTGGGGAGCCCAGGGGACAGCCAAGCTCCTGGCAGCAGGGATCCGACAGCGCGGGGGGAGGCAGCCAGGCTCCTGGCGGGGAGCTGAGACCCAGGCTCTCAGCCCCCCACGCTGCTCCCTCTTAAGTCACTGGAAGCATTTCTAGTGAGACTGTGCACCACCGACCCAAGGAGGGTAGAGTAGACATGAACCACCACAGAAAAGTTGACCTAACATCGGTTGACTTACGTTTCTAGTGTAGACAAGCCCTTACACAGAGCCCTTCTTCAGGTCTGGGAAACGAGCATCACAGCTAAAGACAAGGTGGAACAGATTGTTAGTTAACAATATGTCTAGTTAACACATATTTCGAGGGACCATTCAAGATGAAGTGGCCCGTTAACACCCCTTCACTATCCTGGGACTACTGCATCACTTCATATCACCAATGATAGATGATACCTAAGACTCTGGACTACACACACTCCAGCAGCAAAACGTACATTCATACATAGTAAAATGTGTAAAAGTGGTCATTTTAATTATTCCTTGGAAGACTTTTGAACCAGTACAAAATTTTTGTATCCACGTGCTTTTGTCACAACCAACTCAGGCAACAGCTTCGACACTTGACATTTTGTTCCTTTTAAGCAGAAGAGTGGTTGGGAGCATGGGAGCATGATAATCCCTTTAAAATACTTAATTAATCTCCAAAATAATGTTGTTCTGCTAGCATTGAGGATCAAAAGCCTTTAAGTTCACACCACCACCAAACAGAATTTGTACAGGCCAGTCTGATGCTAGGAAAATGCATGATTCTGGCTCTACAGAACTAAATCACTGCATACACAAACTTACAGGTGCAAAAGCGGAGGCTGTGGTGAGGCCCCTTTGAAAACTTGGCCTTAAGCCATGGTGCTGAAGGAACTCCCAGAGATGCAAGATTCAGGGAGTGGGTGGATGTGTGAGTGAGAGCGAATGTCAGCAAAGAAGCAAGGAAGCAATTTAAGACAGAACAAGGGGACCTAGGGTCTGCTCCCTGGAACCATATATGCATACTTGTTATCTGACTTTAAGATAGCCAATGGGAACCACTGCTGAGCTGATGGAAGAGCTGTCAATCAGCATTTTAATACTTCGCCACCTCAGTGTAGTGCTCCAAGATTCTCAGATGACAGGGACTATATAAGTAAATTATTATTTCTAGGAGTATAAAACTACTTCCCTTTAAGCCTGGAGAGCACAAGCTGAGGAAGGCTATAAATAATTTCAACATCTGTTTCTCTAGTTAAAAAAATAATTAAACTTTATTAAACATACCAATGATTTTTGGCATTTTAATGATTTGGAAGTGGTTTGGCAGTACTGATTCTGTCAGCTATCCAGCTTACTCTACACTCTTGAAATTGTATTCCTGAAGATCAAGAGTCTCTCACAGCTCATTGAGATGAATAAACATTCAACTATCACAAAAGGCAACTGACACTGTACCCAAATTTATTACCAGAAGGCTAAGATTTCCCTGACACTACAAGTGGACATTTATGTTCACTCAGGGTTGAGTTACTATCCAAGTTTCTCATATGGCAGACTCATTGGTCAATTTGCTGAAAACCATAATTACCTGAGTGTAAGCGAGTTTTTTGGTGTACGTGAACGTCCACTCCAAAGGTTCCAGTTACATACTAGCTTCCCAGAATAACTAACTACAGGTCTGGATCACAAGCTGGGTTGAGCTATATTTGTAACCCAAAAAACCATAATGTTCATACTGGAAAGCATCAATTATGAAGAAATGGGTACATACTGTTGTGAACCAGCTTTTTAATTAGTTGACTGTTTACACACAAAGCCTGTGATTAATAAAGCACAAACGCTTATTTAGGCATGCATGGGGCCAGAAAAAGTTTGCCTTTGCTTGGTATTGTAGGTTTATGGTCAATATTTCTATTCTGAAGAGTAATAGGATTTTTAAATCAATCCTTTTTATAGCTGCAGGGACTAGTGGTAGTTGAAAGGAGCACATTAGACAGTAATATCTTGAACATCTCCTAAAACCTTGTTTTGTGGCATAATGGTCACCTTTCCCCTTAATATTGGGATAGTCGGGTTTCTACATACTGTCTCCCAAAGAGCCTTGAGATATTTCCACTATCCAGTTGCTTTGGGTCCCAATCCCCCGGTTCTTCTTGGAATCCCTGAGAGTTCTGCCATTGATTTTATGAGAGCGGGATCGGGCCTTCCAAAAGGAAGAGGTACAAAAGTCTGACCTTTCTGAGGCCCCAACCCTACCATGGCTTATGCATGCACTTAATATTAAGCACCCATCCAATAAATACCTGGGTATTCTTTTTGAACATGTACCTAAAAGCTAGGGATTGAAACAAAAACTAGTAAGAAATCAGATTTTACATTTCTACACTATACTCTCAAAAGGCAAGAGGATAAAAGCAACCTTTCTACGTTTATATACATACTGGCTCTATTGGCATTCTTCTCTGCCCCATTTTGCAAGGTTGGAAACTTGCAATTGCCTTTTTTGTTACAACGAAACACAGAACACAAGATCCCAGCCTAAGGGAAAGCTTCATTAAACCAGATCCAAACTGATACATTGTTTAAATAAAAAAACAAAAATTCTACAGCAAGGAACATTTGATAGTGACCTGCCAAAGAAAGTTAAAGTGTGTTCACAGCTGAGTATAGTGTAGTGGAGACAAACAAGGTACCTAGTTTTAAGATGGAACTCAAATTTATAAATGGGATTACATGGAATGGTTGCCTATGATAACAGGGACTGGACACGATAGGACAGGAAGGGATCTCCTTATTTGTGTTCCCTTTTTGGTTTCTTGGATGTGCAAAGGATTGAATAGTTTGAAAAGGTGGCTGTATGAAGGAAATTCTGCCTTATTTTAGATTAGACATTCTTGTCGTTGTTGTAGGAATCTGTGGTTGTGGGTAGACTAGTGGGATGATGACTTTTTCTCCCCTTTTGCTAGTCACTTTTTTTTTTTTTAATAAAAGGAGAATTTGTTCTTATCTTTCACCATTTTTAATCAAACTTCTTATGGCTACAGCATCACCTTTGAAAAAGTGAAACTCTACAGACTCCGGGAGCAAGATAACAAATTTGTTCTCTCCTTATTGAAGAGCACTTGCAGAGCAATATCACTAACAAACCCCTCGGAATTCCTGTGGGAATCAGAGTTCAGTTCCTGGGTTGGTCTCTTGATCTCCAGTTCAGCAAGGGTTGCCGGGGGGGGGGGGGGGGGGAGGGAGGAGGAGGGTTTCCAGATGCAGCATGCCCAGTTGGGGAGTGTCCTCTCTAGCTAAGTAAGCAACAGTGTTTATGGACTTTAGAAGGAAAGCACAGCTTGTCTCCTTGATGGGAAAGATGGTGGATGCAATGAAAGGACAGGGTAAATGGGGGGAGGAAGAAATGGGGATTTCCTCAGGGATCCAACAGTCCTAGAGGACCCCCAGCAGGTAATACCCTAGTGGTAATACCTACCATGTCTCCCCGTTTTCTCCATCAGTACAGGAATAGGGGAAAGCCAAAAAATTAGTTTATTTTGTTTGAAATGTTTCTAAATGTAAAGTGTCAGGTGGCTCCATCTTATAGTAAAACAAAGGACAATATCTTGCATTTTTCTGCTCACACTAGTCCAGTCCTTCTCGGAACTGCCATCTGGAAGTATCTACCTTCTTCCATAGAGAGTGTTTATTTGTACTTAGACCAACCCCCTGTGATTATATTCAGAAGAGTAGGTTAGAATGCCTTATGGCAGGGTATACGTGTAACATTTCCCTGCACCTTTTATAGTCTTCAACAATAAACAAAGCTTATTTCAAATCACCTTTATTATCTTGTTTAAAATAAAAAAACATACCGCTATACAGTATACATTGTCGAACAGAGCTTTCTTAATCTACTGTGTACAAAGTCTGAAGTAATCTTACTGAAAAAAAAATTGCTATTTTTAGTCTCCTGATGGGTAGACAGAACTTCATCAGATGTAATGCTTTACGAGGAAAGCAAATCAATTTTTAGACTAGTCATCAACTATTAACATAAGAATACAAATTAACTATTTAATTAACAACAAAAAAGAAAGCTAAAGGTTACATTAACTCCAGATGCCATATGGCTACAATAGATGACTCTGTACGTAGACAACAATTATGACCACAGTTGTATCCGAAAGCAGGGCTAAAATAAAAAGGTTTCAGATATGGTCTTTTGGATACTCATTTTTTCTTGGTATATAGTTTATCTTCATAGTTGACTGGGATTATGCCACCACATTCTTCTGTCTTTGATACTGGATGCTTTAAAAAAGTAGGTCTAATTACATCAACATCACGTCCTAAATGGTCCATCATCGTTGAAACAATCATAGGTGGGCCATCAAAGTCTACCAAAAAATACCTGTAATGGAAAACACACACAGATACAATAAAATAAGATATATGCACTGCAAAAGCTTTTATTCATACCGTCATTCTGTTGGAATTGTAAAATCAAACTCCCAATTATCTACGAGGAATACCTTATATTTTGTTTTTTTGAACTGTTTTTAAAACAAAGCTCAGTAACATTATGGATTTAAAATACAGGTAAGTCAATTTATATGGAGCTACACAACCGAAAACAATGGAAGTGGGCATCTTTCCTATTCACAGGGCACCATTTCTTGTCTGTGCACTCAAACTGGAATCAGAGGTCTGCCTTTACTTACTCCATACATTTACATACATAGTATTTTTCACACCATTTAGAAGTTGCATATTTATTTGAGTTAAAAAAATGTACACTTTCCCTCCTTGAATTCAATGCATTTCTCCTCAGGGATCCTTGCCATGTGGAGAATGGACTCACGAACAGATGTCAGTGTCAAACATCTAAAGCTTATATATCATATGGGCAATATTTCATCCATCCCAACACTACTTTATAACTGAGTGGAAGTTTAAAATAGCAGCAGGAAGTAGGGAGGGAGGAAAGCGAGCGAGCTGGAGCTAGCCCAAATGAGCATGTATTCATTAGTGACATGTTTTAACTTCTGAAAACTGAGGACGCTCCATTTCTATTTAAGGCCCCTATGTCACTTCTGCAGTCACTCAAGTCAAGTAACTCACGCATTGGATCCTGTTCTATTCATTCACTTTTCATTTTGAAGGAATCTTTTTAAACTCTAGTGGGATAGAGCGAATGGTAAGGTCTATTGCTCTTCCAAACATATGCTAGTCCCATTTTGGAGGAGAGATTACAACTGGATATTGTATTTCGGTGTTCAGAAATAAATCCTCATACAATTCCCATATCCTCAATTTTTTTCAGAGAGCGAGGTCCACGGCTCTTGCATATTTTGAGTGATTTTACTGCAGCCAGCATATTCATGTTGAAAGATAAGAAATAGATGGCAATTTGGCATTGTAAATAAACTTGTAGTTGTGGGGATTTTTAATCCATCAGCTTGCTTTTGGTAAGGCTTTAACTACAGTACAGTACAAAGGAAGTCTCAGCTGTCTCTCAGAAGTCCTATTAAAGATTAGACGATTACAGTGAGTAGACAGTTTCCAACTGCAGCATTCATTAAAGATACAGTAGACCGCACAATAATTCCCATTTAGCTTTTTGTTTTAAAACTTCTGTACAGTCGCATTTATTAAAACTATGTGAGTAAAGACAACTGCTCTCTCTGAAGTATACCTCAGTAGAATGCAAAAACGAGTCAGCCACAAAGGGGAACCATATTTTCTTCACATATAATTAGGGCCTTACCAAATTTACGGCCATGAAAAACACGTCACGGACCGTGAAATCTGATCTTTTGTGTGCTTTTACTCTATACTATACAGATTTCATGGGAGAGAACAGCATTTCTCAAATTGGGGGTTCTAGCCCAAAAGGGAGTTGCGGGGAGGGAGAGGTTGCAAGGTTATCGTAGGGGGGTTACAGTATTTCCACCCTTACTACTTTGCTGTCTTCAGAGCTGGGCAGCCAGAGAGCAGTGGCTGTTGGGTGGGCAACCAGCTCTGAAGGCAGCGCCCCGCCAGCAATACCATACCATACCAGGCCCCCCTTACTTCTGCGCTGCTGCCTTCAGAGGTGGGTGGCTGGAGAGCGGCAGTTGCTGACTGTGGACCCAGCTCTGCAGGCAGCAGCGCAGAGGTAAGGGTGGCAGTACCACACCAGGCCATCCTTATCTTTGCACTGCTGCTGGCAGCAGCTCTGCCTTCAGAGCTGGGATCCTGGCCAGCAGTCACTGCTCTCTGGTCGCCCAGCAGCAGCACGGAAGCAAAGGTAGCAGTACCACAACCCCCACTGCAATAACCTTGTGACCCCCCTCCCCCCACACACACACCTCCTTTCTTGGTCAGGACCCCTACAATTACAACACCATGAAATTTCAGATTTAAATAGCTGAAATGATGACATTTACGATTGTTAAAATCCTATGACTGTGAAATTGACCAAAATGGACTGGGAATTTGGTAGGGCCCTACATAAAACCCAGAACAATCCATACTCAAAACAAACAGAGGCCAAGTGTACCAGCTAGTTTTACTTGGAAATTATATCTGACATGTAGTACTTTTTCCCCACAGTAAGGGCCAGATTCTAATGTAATCTAATTTCAGGTGCATACAATGCATCACAGCACACTCACAAAAGTGTTGAGCTATGCAACAAGTGCCAGGCACCCAAGATGAGAAACTGGGCCTACATATACATCAGAACACAGAGTGCAGAGAATGTGTCAACAACAAAAAGTTCTTTACGTTTTCCATATTATGACATATGAGGAAAACAAACTCCTCCAATCTAAATACCTGCGAGAGGAAGTCCCATGACCATCAACAGGTATTACACACAGAGAGAGAACAAAATTCCCCCACTACGGAGGGGCAGCACAAAGCCTATGGGTCTGCCTACACTGCAACTGGGAGCGAACCTCCCAGCCCAGGTAGATAGAGGCATGTTAGCTCTGCTCAAGCTAGTGCGCTAAAAATAGCAGTTTGGAGGTTGCAGTGCAGATAAGTGGTTTGGGGTAGTCACCTGAGATTGGACCCTGGGGTTCGGGCAGCCTTGAACTCGAGTAGCTGCGTGTTGCATTGTCCGCACTGTTACGGCTAGCATGCTAGCTCGAGCAGAGCTAACACAAGTCTCTCTACTTGTGCTGGGATGCTCGCTCCCTGCTGCAGTGTAGACATATCCTATACGCCACTTTTAAGGGTAAAGGTGGGACATAAGTGGTGCAAAGGTCTTACGCTGGCCTGCTGCACAGAGGTGAATGCTGCACACAAGGAGAAAACAATAAAGGAGGATTTCCTTAACTGAGCATTCCCAGCCCCTAAATGAATGCGCAGCAATGGACACTAATAACCTTTTGTAGCAGAAGTGCTGCAATTTGGAAAACTAAATTAAAGTACTGAATTTCCCTGTATTAGGCTTGAATGGCAAAATCTCCCATGACACTACTTAAGGGACCCAATCCTGTAGTCTGTACTGAAGCAACTAGTCCCCTTGGGGCAGGTCCTCAGTGCATGAGGTCAGCTGGAACTATGACAATTTACACCCCATGACTTCAATAGGACTAGTTATGTGAAACTACTCCTCTCATGAATGCTACAATGAGGCCTAATTGCAAAAGTCTCAGGGACTTCAATGGGGAGCAGGATTGGGCCCAATACATTTGGAAAAACAGAAATGCCTTAATACTGTCTTATCTCCAGTGAGTAAGAGAAGTCACATACTTTAGACTTTATATAAAAAAAACAATGGGTAAAGCCTAACAATAGTGGAATAAATTACAACTCTAACGTTTCCCAAAGGATGTGCATGGCCAAGGAAGGAAAATCCTATTTTCAGTTAAGATATTGACTACCACAGCAAAGATGCAGGACCCTGAAATCCTTTCATAGTTCCAACCAAAAAGGAAAGGAAAGCAAGTTCTAATAGATCGTACTACATCAAGGTTTGCATGCTCTTTAGCAGTTAGCAACAACATTCATTCATGAACCGCCCCACTTTTCCATGCTATTTTGGCTTTGCTTTTACAGAATTTCATTCCATTTCTAAATGCAAGTTGTGTGCTGCTTTTTACTGTGCTCCTAAAACTGCAATAGCTTTTCTCCCAAAGGCAGGTTTACTGCTTTGTGGTCTCTCACACATAAGCAGACAGTGGAAATTTCCGCTGACGCACTGTTGATAAACGAAGGAGAAGTGGGGGATGGGAAGGATGAGCTGCTCCAGCACGTCCGTGTCTTTTTCACAGAGTAGATATTTTAGCTGAAGACACAAAAATGCAGCAGTTGGGAGAATGCAATTTAGAAACAATACCAACCATCCTTCCTTCAGCGTAAGAAAGCAGTAATTGCTCTGATCTATAAACGGGGGGGGGGGGGATAACAAGTCTTTTTGCCTTTTGTTTCCATTAATTTAATTGTGCTTAAACAAAAAAAAACAAAAAAAAACAAAACCATGTTAGGCTGCTGCGATTCACGAGCTAATCTGGAACCCTGCCCATAAAGACAAAGGTAGCTAGTCAGAGATGTGTATCTGAATACAGATGTAGGTATTTAAACCTACAGTTCAATCGTGCACACAGCAGCCTCACGTTTTTCTTTGTTTAAAGCAGTCAGCTGTGGACACACAAATATTGCAGCTACTCTTTGTCAGGTGACCAAAATAAAACCCCAGCAAGGCTGGGAGGATGATAACATGGAATATAGGAGATAAACAGTCTCTTTTTGCACGCACAGCTGGAAAATGGGAGTTTCAACTCTCTAGGAGTTAGCAAAGTCATCAGGGAGAAAGTCAGGAAAATTCCACTCTGATTCACTGTGAGACCAGTTATTTTTGTAACCCTGTACTACGGTAAATAGAAGGGTAATTTAAATACAGGACAGCAGAACCTTTATCTGCTGAAATGTCAGTGCTATCAAAGGAAGGGGGTCTCCTTTTGCACCTTAAAGTAGCGAGATTTCATTTCTTATATATCCAGGCCAAGAATTATTTCAACCTTTAGCCCAAAAATTACCCACATCTCTGTTTTCAAATGGGTACTTTGACTTAGATGACACATGAGAAGCTCCTAGATCAAAGCTTGCTTTTAAATCTTCTTGGGACATAGCTCTCAGCCTAGTGTACTGTGATTGAGAGCAGAGAGAAAGGGAAGAACTGAAAGAGGTTGAGTGGTCAGCAATCTGGTTAGCTACCCAAAAAAGTTTCCACATGCTGCAAAGGAGAGAATGTTAGATATGGTTAGCCCTCATGCTTTAGGACTCCTCTTTTCTTTAGGAGCTTTAAATCTTGGGGCTTGTCTACACTGACACTTTACAGTGCTGCAACTTTCTCGCTCAGGGGTGTGAAAAAACACACCCCCCCCGAACGCTGCAACTACACAGCCATGTTAAAGCGCT